AATTTGTTTAAGTACTTAATATAGTATTATAACGCAAATACAATTAGCATGGCTCATTACCCCTTTACCTATAATTAAAATTTAAAAATTAGCTGAGCCTTATTAATATTTTAATTTTTAATTAAAAAGAAAAAATAAAACTTTACAGTGTCATATTATTTTGTAACACTTTAAATATTTTCCAGGTCAACCGCCGCGCGGCCTTGACGTTTATTTTGGGGCGTTAAAACATATAAATCGTCACGCACCAAGTATCATTTGTACAGTGACACGACAGTTGAGTCAGCAGATAACAACAAGAGCCGCTCTGTGCGTCATGATATTACTCTCTCAATGTGGGTACAAGTATACTAGAAGATACTAAATCACATTGCACAGTTATTACACTAAGAAATTATTAATTAAAAATTCGATAAACACGTTAAGATATAATAAGATTTCAATCTAAAGCAATTTTTTAATTAAGAGAGTAATTTTGTATTTAGTACCATTTTATAATCACTTCTTAGGAATTCTTTGTTTTTAATATAAATAACAGCCATAAATTTGAACAATTAGATTAACAAGATAGGTCAAACTTGTAATACAATTTAATACTTCACTTTATTAGGATATCAAAATCATCTACAGAAGATAAATTGGAATTTTAACACAATTAAAAGCATGGAAATAGTTTTGACTCAACTTAGTCTTCTTTAATCACATTTTAAGATCGCAATAATAATTAAAAATAAATTTACACAAGTAATTATAAATTAAATGTTGGAAATAACATATAAAAGAGAAATAACGAAATCATATCAAAGAAAGGTTGGAAAATAACATTGTAATAAATAATATTATAATAAATCTTCATTTGTTCTCTCTCTCTCTCTCTCTCTCTCTCTCTCTCTCTCTCTCTTCTCTTTCCTAAAGCGACACCCTCTTATTTCTTAAAAATTAATAGTTTTTTTTCATAATACGATGTATCTTGCAAGGACGTTTCGACTTAACTTCGTCTTTCTCAGCCTTAATTCGCAATATAATATAACATTTGTAGAATAAAAATTACATAGTAATAGACTAAATTAGAATTGAGTTGAAAAAGATAATCATAAAGCTACTGTGATAATTGGACATAATAGGATATTCTTCAAGTTCATGATATTTTAATAACTGTTTCCTCATTCAAAAGCAAGAAAATAGAGTCCAATTAACATTATTGAGTTACTAATTAATACGTTGTCCATGAATTTTTAGCTTCGTTAGATTTGAAATTGATCACAATTAAATCTATGTCCAAAACTATTAGATTTATGTCTAACAATAAGTAATATAAGAACAAAGCTTCACGTCAGTAACAGTATAAATAGTAAAATATTTTATAATTTTATTAATACTAGCACATTCCTTACGCGCGCTACGCGCGCGATGGTCCATTATGCTCTTTTTAAATATTATGAATTATGTTTCTTTGAAACTTGTTTTGAAATCAATAACTCCTCTAATTCCTACTAATACAAAATTTCCCCGAAATTTAAAAACCTTTAGAATTTCATTATTGTTTTTGATCGCCACATTAAGTCTACCATTTTGATAAATAATATTTAGCTTATTTTTTTATTCAACGTTTATGTCGAAAAATTCGACCCACAGTGTGGCTGTGCTGGGTCGCGTACAAGAGTAAAGTACATTAAAGCAATCAATTGCCGGGATCATTTTGGTCTCAAAATGTTTCTAGAATTATTTGCTCTAAGAATATCCAGAATCCGATTTTTTTTGCTCATCGTTTACGTCGAAGGATTCGATCCACAGTGTGGCTGTGCTGACTTAAGACTAAAGTTGGCACGTCCATCCATTTTTCAAAGAAAAATAGCAGCAAGTGAAAAATCAACTACATATTCTTGAAGGGCTTTTTTTTGCTAATTTAAATTCTACTTCAAAAACACTAAAATCAAAATCCCCCTTATATTCCATCCGCCAGATTAACGAAAACAGATTTTAGAAGACTGAATCAAAACGCCATTTTGAACTTTCAATTTTTAAATACGGATTTGTAACGAACGTCCCCAAAAACCACCTGTAACCAAATTTCAACAAAATCGAAGAATCTTAAGGATTTCAGTAACATTTCCGTCCGCCATATTGGATCAACTATTTCGAACTTTCAATTTTTGAGAACGGATTCGTAACGAACACCCCCTAAATCACTAATATACCTAATTTCACCAAAATCGAACAATCTTTAGGATTTACGTTAATTTTATGTTCGCCATATTAGATCCACTATTTCGAATTTTCAATTTTTGAGTACAGATTCGAAATAATCGACCCCGAAAATCCTCAAATACGAAATCACATCAAAATCAGAGAATTCCAACAGCCTTAACGAAAAGAGGCTTCAAAAAAGCGTGACACGCCAATTTTAAGATATGATGATGATATTAAAACAGAGTGCATCATTATTTTATTATGCTATACTATACTATTAAATTCATAATATCGAATTGTATTGAATTTGAATTGTTTTAAATTATTCCCATAGATCGCCAATGTTCTCTACTTAATATGTCATTAGTTTAATTAAAACAATGAAGTGAAATTTAATCGAAAAAAATATATTAATTTGACTCAAATTTAGTTTATTATTTACTACATGTATACGTTAATATAAACGGTGTTTATTTTGAAACTAGGTAATTCAATCACTACAAAAATGAATTGATTAAATGTGATTGTTTTTTTGATCACTTTTGAATTAAAATAACATATTTTAATATACTTGGAAGTATTTAAAAGTAACGAAATGTTATTTAACTTCAGGAATTATAAAACAAATTTACAATAGCCAAGTTGTATCCCGTCAACGACAACGTGGTATAGGTAAAATATTTTTTTTTATTACTACTAAACCTCAGCAATGTCGACGCACTCGGTGTATCGAGAACGGAAATAACAAAATTGTTGTCGTATAAAAAAATTACGTCAATCATCTTGAGATTGATGGAACACCACTGTGGAATACATCATGCAACTATAGAACAGCAGAAACCCTTTAATCGCAAAATCAGAAATCAGTAATTACGAAACTAGTGAATGACGTATATCATTCGAATACTCCATCGTATAATTTTAATTGATTGAATCTAAGCGCGTTATTCAATCAAGTGTCAAAATTAAAAGAACACTACATTTTATTTTCACTACACTCTATAAAAAATATCGATATATGGATTAACACCATGCAGTGTCTATATAATTCTTACCACATATTGATATTAATATTAACACCAACACAGAATTACATAGACACCGTAGATGTTAAATTTGTATGAATATTTATTAAAGTGTACCGTTTGTTATGGCTGATTCCTTATTAGACATACACGACATATGTGGATATTATAAAAGATATATCTATTGCTTTAAACAGCTATATTATAAAAGAAAGCAGAAAGTAAAGAATAGTGCCGTGAAACTTGTTACAAGAACATCTTAATTAGAATATTACAAAGTTATATCAGCAGGTGTAAATTCAATTTAACACAGATATTCGTTGCTAACTTTTGTAAGACACGGAATTCAAAGCGATTGTGTCTGTGTGTGGTGTGTGTGTGTGTGTGTGTGTGTGTGTGTGTGTGTGTGTGTGCGCGCGCGCGCGCGCGCGTGTGTGCTATTCTTTACATACCCCCCCTCTCTCTCTCTCTCGTTTTATATTTTAGTAGTCCTTTATTTCATGCCTTTCTTCATTCTATCTCATTTCCTCATTTTTAGTCATTCTCTCTTTCATCTCCTCCGACCAAGCGTTACCGCCAAAGTAAAGTAGATATTGTTGCGTCAAATCGTTTAAAACTTAGAGAATAGCCACTAAAGCAAAGCAAAGTTTACTCCACAACTCTTTAATACACCTTATTAGAGAAGGTGTGGAAGAGAAACTAGCTTATTATTTAGCGATAATTATAAGCTTCTAAAGGAAGATTTGAAGATATCTTCAACTTAACTTCCATTGAACGAGCGAAAAGCGATAACGTGACGAAATATCGCACACTGAACGGAAGATTGATTAACGCTGGATTGAAGGTGCGCAATGTGCATTAGCTCTGAGAGAGCGTACGATTTTCTTAAATAGATATTCTATTCACTTTAACTCAAGATATGTCATACAGGACGTAAAGAATTAAAACTTCTAATTGCACAAATGTATATACAATAAAGCATAAAACGAACCTAAAAGTCTTCAATTAATTTAAAGTTGAAGAATAATATGAAGAATAATATGAATCGATATAACGCACAAATAGATATATTAAAAATCGAGATAATTGTATGCCGGATGGAAAATTTATACGAAGAATGGCGGGGAAATGTCAAATGTTCGCAATTAATTTACTATCGTAAACCCAGGATTTAGGGTTTAGGGTACAATGGTGCGCGGTACAATCCTGCTGTTTTGCACCGATTCCAGCAGATGTTACAGTAATCACCTTTCACAGTTCATACATGACAAACCTATGTAATTAGCATACTATTCCACATAGTTCCCGTAAATGATCATTACTTCTAATTGTAATGCAATCTCACCTTATCGAACTATAATAACGTTTTGGCGTTTGTGTTAGGCACCTAATAATCAAATTTATCCTTGACGCTTATAATAATTATCAGAAATGAAGCTTTATGTAAGTTACATTCGAATACCGAAAATATATATACATTGTAAGTTCTGTATTATCCTACAAATCGGGACATAATATTACGATATTCACATAGAAATCGAAACACAAATACGAACTAAACTCGTAATATTTGTCATTGTATAAATATTATAAATTGGAGAATTAAATTCACTAGAAACATACATATATATATGTATTCGAACATTTATGCCCCACGGCAGATTTAATCGTGTTATATCGTATCACATATATTGTATTATTACCGCGAGTATTCTATAAATGTCCGAAAATTTCTCACGTTTAAATTCCACTATTATTAAGCATGCTGAAATATAATTCACATACCTTGGCACATTATTGTGATAATATGCAGTATACTGATAGTCAAGTATCGACTCCTTCTTTGACGATCCGCCATTTTTCCGTCGATATTCGCGTCAAGTTCCGAAGCTAATCTGTAACAAAACAAAAAGTTCAATCAGTCATGAAAAAGATAGCTATCAATTAAATGTCAGATATTTTTTCATATTACAATATACCTGCTATGAACGGATCTAGATTTTCTTTCGATAAAATAAAGTATAGGTATTATAATTTCAGAGAAGCATATAGAAATAAAATGTTCCAAAAAAAGCAATTGTAAGCAACGATACGTATTTACCATTAATAATACAATTTACCGCGATCGTTACACGCTACTCATGTCCGTGAGATCATAGATTATTAGTGGTACAGGTTATTAGTGGTCTTCAGTAAATAACCCTATTCTATCACTAAAGGCACGATATAAATCTGGTACAATACATGAGAGCGCGGGATACATATGTACATATACGTCAATCTGGCGTAATGTGCACGACCAAATGCATATTGCAATGTTGCAATATGCCGATTGGTCGGAAACGCATACAACCGTGAAATCATTAACGCATGGCTAAGTCAGTTTAATACACAAGGATACAGTAATTAACAAACGTCCAATGTTAATCAGACTTATCGACTTGAAATACGTGTACTACATCGTTCGACAAGACGCAACTGTTGTTTGTGGTCTTGTAATTCGTACTGGATACCGGTAATGCTCCATACGATTATTTCTAGTACAAAGACTATAGCTAAAAGTGATTTGATAAATCAAATTTTAATAATTATTTGCCACATCATTAATATAAGCTCGAGGGAACAGTTCTTCATATAGAAATATTATATATAATATATATACATATATGTATATATATTATACGTATAGAACGTTATTCAAAATATAGATATAAATAGAGGCTCTGAATGATGAGAGACCCTTTTATCTAAATCCATACAGCGTGCCAGGCTTTTTCATTTAATACGTGTCCCAACATATATTATAGAACTATACGTACTCATCTGCCATACTATATTTATACAAATCTGAATTAATGCATGCTACATACATATCTCATATCTGTCATTTCTTCTTATAATTACGATTTCCTAGTACGATTTATCCTCTCTTCTTAATATTGCTAGATATTTTTTAGATAGAAAAAAAAACTCGTAACGTAACGAAAGTTTTACAGACCATTATATGGATATTTAAAGTGCGAAGAGCCTTCTAATATTACGCGCGTAATGCGCAATTCATAATGTTATCACGAGTTTTACTAGATATATAACAGGGATTTCCATAACGATGCTACGTTGATACTCGAGTAAAATGGCCTGCGTCGCCACAATCCTGAATTCACTTCTACTATCGCGCTCGCTCCATAATTAGCAAACTCAGTTACGTAACACCGTTATATAGTAACGCTCGCGTTCCTTTATCTATTTTTCTCGTAAACTTGTTCGTGACAGGCTCATGGAAAAATGCTTCGCATGGATAGCTCCGGGCGGTTCTCTGTTAATGCCGTTTCTTCTATTTATAGTGATATATGTGGAACAATGAGATCGTGAATAATAATTAATAAATAATAAATACAGAGTCTAAAGAAATTATATACAACAACAAGTTAAACATAATATAATTAATTCTATAATGTTATCGATATTAAATTATACAGTATTACTATTGATACGTAAATTTTACGTACAAGGAAATAGAACACTCCTGATTAATGTAACAGAACATTTTTATACATTTCATGAAAAAGATTTCATACTTTTAATGACAAAATATTTAAACGCTACATCTTACATATATAATTTAGTAAAGGAAAGAAAGAATAGCACTATCAAATTCAATCTTGAAATGATGTGGAGTACGCAGTCAGTCTTTCATGCACTGATCATCAAAAGTATATAACATAACTGCATAAAAATTAAAATTACTTATCACGCTCTATCTGTTTTAATATTGATTACTAGGAAGTCCAAACTAATATACGTAAATAAATTGACTGAATTTTTCAAAGCTTGCTTTGTCTTAGCTTTTAACATGAAAGATTGAATCTTTTGATCATTAAAGGTTAGCGCGCTCAACGACTTCATTTATTTTTACGTAAAATTTACATATCGATTTTACAGTTCCGATATTAATATATTATAAGTTTTTAATTTTCATTGGTTATTAAAATTTTAGTTACAAAACATTTATAAATTCACAATTTCGTGTTTAATAAAAATGTAAATAGATTAAACGAATATATCGATAATATCGCACAACTTCATATGATATCTCTGGAAAAAATACACACGAAAAATAGTATGCAATTGTCAAATGTTGAGATTCCCGACACCTTGATTACATGCAAATACATAAGCGTGTCACGCAAGGAGTCACGTAGTTTAGGTATCTTCGTGTTATGTCACGTCTACTCGGTGAAGACCGCAGTTAGTGCATGCTAAACTTTGAAGGCATACACAGCTATGTTTACGCTCGAGAAACGAGCATCCGAGAGACTGAACGCCGAATAGTTATGAGATGCATACAGAAGTTGAAATGAAATTTGACATTAATTCTTTTAACAGGAAGTTTTTTTTTAACGTATTAAATGAATGTACACACATCGTTTTGTTAAATAAATTAAATAGATTCAAGGATACTTTTTTCTATTAAACATACATTGCTATTATTAGCATTTGTGCAAAAAATAAAAAGAGAAATGTTAAAATACCATATCTAATTGAATTAATACCATGGCACATCATACAAAAGAGCAAGTATCTTCTATAACAGATGTAACATACATATCTCCAGTTTTATTTCCTAATTGCAAAATATTATACTATATGGTCATTTTAATTTCGTCGTTTTGACTTTAAAACATGCATATGTACATATAGTATAGAGGGAATGCAAATCGATTCTTAATATTTCGTTAATTAATATTACGGTAGCGATGTTTGTTCAGGCGCTAATAATGATTGTTATGGCATTGAGGCAATAGCGCGATTGATATGGTACCGTTTGGTAATTGGACCAATTAGAAATTGGACCAATTACCAAACGGTGCCGCGTCAATCGCGCTACTATCCCAACGCCATAACAATCATTATATTGCAGTCGCGCTACTGTTTACAGTTGCCGTAATGCCAGTTGATCTCTTTTAACGGCGCGTCGATAATTTAATGCAATTGGCCCGGCCGCGCGCGCCCAGTTAGTAGTACAAGTCGAGATTTGCCACGACGCGCACCGCACCGCGTCGCGCCGCTGCGTCGCTCCCGACTGCGACGACGGTCGAGATTTACGAGGCGATTTACAAATTGGCGGTTATTGTGTACCGCTTCGGAATGAAACTGTCCCCTAAATCAAAACGTCTCTGCCGTTCATTAAACGTCAGACCAATCCGGGAAATCGGCCGCCTCGCGGTGCTCTTCCGCCACCGTATACCACCGACGACGTCGACGTCCGTTACCGTTGCAGCCTCCTCCTTCATCTAGCCTGACCTACCGCTTCCGTCATATGCGTCTGCAATTCTATTGCGCCGTGACGGTGCGGCACACTGGCGAATTTGTCGGATCTGTCGTCGATAAACGTAAATCGGACAACGGCTTGTTTTCCGGAAACAACGCCAAAACCTGTGAGAATCGAGTAAACACGCGATGTCAAAAATAGTTAAATCTTTGCGAGACCGCGTACGCTGGCGTAGTTGGCTTGTCGATTTAAATCATGCTTCAATTTAATCAATTAGCGCATTGCCAAGTGATTCTCCAATTAATTTTTCAAACTGAACTGATGACTGAAACGAAACTTCTTCTGTATCACTATTTTTCACCGCGATTAGGATACACGAACTCGTTTTACAATACTATAATAAAAGCTAAAATTAATCAAAAATTAAGTATTAATTTTTATTAACATCTTAACTAACATGGTGTATCAAAATTCATCACTCCAAACGCTAGAGCAAGAAAAAAAATTCTCGAAAAATTAGGTGAGTTATTTATAAATTTTTATTTTAAGCAATAGCTTTCAAGATAATAAGAAGTTTTAATATAGTTAATAATAAATTATATTTATAAATAAGACAATTATTATTATCTCACACATCATCTCATCATGAACAGACATCTAAATGTAGTCCGTAATTAGCTATATTTAAATCCTTATGTCTCAAAAAACTCTTTAAAATAAAAATTTATAAACAACTCGTTTACTTAATTGTTTAAAAATTTTGCTATAGACAAATTTTAGACACTTTGTATATATATACACAATATAAATATTTGTGTTAGTGTCAAACAGAGACAGAGAGAAAAAGAGAGCTGGTATAATTGTTAAAACACGTACTCTGTGTGTTGAATTTTTGTGATAACTAAATGTAATTTTATGTAATATAAATGTGTTATTTGAATATTTTGTGTTAAATTAATTATTTATTTATTAGTGTTAAAATAACAAACACATGATCAAATAATATAAATAAAAAATAATAAATTATATATTTAAAGAAAACAAAATTTAAAATAAATGAATAATATATGTTAATTTAATATATTATATGTGCTAATTTTATTAAAACGTATTAATTTAACATATTATAAATATTAATTTTACTGAAGAAATATACTTTCACAATTTGCTTACAAATTATATCAGTGTTACATTTCTGTGTTAATTTTTAACATAATGTTTATGTTACACCTTCCTACATATTTATTTAATGTTAAATTAACATAACAATTTAGGTGGACCGCTTGGGACACACGTCAAATGTATTAAATTTAATAAAAATTTTAAACTGTGTATATATCATATATATGTTGCTACAGAGAAAATTAAATCATGATTTTCATGAATGACATATGATTATCATGAGCGTAGCTAGAATTTTGTTTGGGGAGGAGGTAATTAGAATTGAGACTTTTATTTAAGTATCAGTTTACAATGTAAAAAAAAGTAAATTAGTAAATTAAATACGTATCTCTCTTTCGGAGAAGAGTAATTGAGTTGTATGGTTTAATGGACTTCTATTATTTTA